GGTCCTTCTGTTAAAAACTCCATTAAGTGTCCCGGAGCTTTTGGCCGGAAGTTTGAGCAATTTTCAAAGTTTCGTAACTCAATCGTTTCTTAACCAAATTCAACCCATAATATATCAAAGTGAAGATAGGAAAGTGTAGAACAAGATTGTACCATTTGGAAGCCCAGTGGTTGCCAGAGATGGCCAGAAAATAGCCTGAAAGGTGACTGGTCTGTGAAAAACTGGAAAACTCGCCGGAAACTGGGTAAACTTTAAACGTACATAACTTCTTTAAACGTACATGGCTTCCGGTGAAGGCGTGTGCACTCCACGTGTCGCTAGTACACTCGTACTCGCCTTTTTCGAATTTCTGGAATTTTTCCAGATTTTTCCTCCAACTTCAAGAGCTTATTCCGAGCTCGATACAAGCCCAAATCAAGTGATTCAAAAGCCAAAATGTAGTTAGGAATGTGGAGAAGAGATTCATACCATTTGGAGGCCTAACAAAGATCAGAGTTGGCCAGAGAAATGGCTATAAGGTGGCCAAATGATCACAGTTTCGAAATTCCAGATTTTGCACAGTGACTTCCCTTGTATTTTCTGAGTTCCTACACCACCAAAACCACCCCAAACCTTACTAATCGTGAACCTAAACACAATCTACAATGATATGGACCAATTTCGAGGTTTACCTTTGTCGGAAATGGCGAGAATTCGCCGAAGAAAAGGGTTACATAGTGAAGGGGTTGCTGTGCACAGTAAGGAAGAAAGAATCCAATAGTGGTCCTGACTCTGTCTAGGCTTCGTGGTGGTGGTTCACGTAGAAGAAATAAGGTGGTTGTGGTGGTGATTTGTGGTTGTACGAAGAGGAAAGGGTGGAGGGAATAGGGCACAGGAAGGAAGGAGAAAAGTGAGAGGGAATGAGTGAGAGATAAAAAAAGAAGTGAAATAAAAATAAGAAATAAGAGAGGGAGAGAGTCTCGGGATAGAAAGGAACACCCCAGAAAATGGAGGTAATCCTGCCACGTGTCACCCCATGAGTGGCTCATGATGGAGAAATATCTCTAATTATGAATTACCAAAATGCCCTTAAAATTCAAAAATTCATAGAAATTTAGTTTTAGCTTCGATTTTGATTCCCTTCATGTCCACGCGTTCGTATCGACAAATGCAACGCGAATAAATTAAAAGAAAATTCCTACATGTCAAAGAGCAGAAGTCAATGAAAGTCAACGTTTTCATCGTTAGGCGTATTTTTGTAAATTTAACTAATTAAAACATAAAATTTAAGACTGGTTGTTACACAAAAAATCGATAACTTTCATTTTGCATTTTATTTTGTCAATAAAATGTAAGAGACTTGTTAAATACTTAACACTCATTGTATTCTTGTTTCCCATGTTTTCAATACGTTCTAATACCTTATAATGTATATATTATTTTATTTTGCAATTGATGTATCACAATACAACTAGGGGCGGATCCATTACAGGACCTGGGTGGTCCCAGGACCCTTCGGAAGATCAGAGAAGCATCTGTGAAGATCGTTAAGGACCACCCGACTGCTTGGTCCCGTGCTGGTTTTGGAACTCCATGAATTTGCAACGCAACACCCATCATCATTTAGCGAAGAAGAAGAAGGTTTAATATTGTTTTTAATGACCTGGCCTAGACGGTGCCGTTTTGAGCCAGGCCATTCAAAAAATTAAAACTCTTTTTCGTCTACAAACCCGAGGTCCAACTACTTCTCATGCAATTCCCTCTTTTAATTAGCACAAAACCCCAAATCCACCCATCCAATACAAACCTTACCCAGAACCCCACCACAATTATTCCACCTCTATCTTTCCATCATCACCTCATTACAATATTGAATTTCAAATAAATTTGATGATTTTGGTCTTATGTGTATTAGAGGAAAATATTCATATGATTATTGTGATGTAGTTTATGATTTTTTTTATAACAATTTGATCATTGTTGGTTAATTTATAGAGAACTTTTATCTATACTTTAAAAATCACAATTTGCACTCCTTGTAAGTGTAGATTTCTTTCTCATTTTAGAAAGTTTGAAATACAAAGTGATATTTTTAGAGTGCAAATAAAAATTTCTAATATATATATATTATGTCTTTGTTTGTCCATATGATTTTTTTTAATTTTGGTTAGATCAAACAATCTAATCTTGGAATGTTTCTCTCTAACATCAAATAGTAATTTATTGTAAATTTTTTCAATGTTATTTTCGTTTAAGTTTTTTTGAAACTTTTACAATTAGGACCACCTAATGTTGAAATCCTAGATTTGCCACTGAATACAACTACGTGTTTTTTAAGTATAAATAGATAATTATTTACACAATATATAATAAATTTACTTAAATCCGACTAGCCCACCTAAGCACTAGGTCCAATCCGTCGTCCGAATAACACTTAGCGTCTTTCTGAACCTTGAATTGCGGATATACTATAAAAGACTTGACTATTAATCTGTTATAACCTCAATAGACGCACACATACTACATCACGTGGCACATTGTGCATGCATGGTTTGTAGAATTAGGGTTAAACATATTGAATTTATTTATTTCTCTCTCTTCCTAATTATTCCAAATTCTGAGGCAGATCTTGATGCTGTATCAAGTGCATGAGAAACAGCATAAAAATGCCGATCTCGTTTGCTCCATCAACAGTCTCCTAGCTTTCTCCGACAGCTTCAACTTCACCTCTATCTTGACCTTGCTTTTCTGCACCATAGGGTTATCAGCTGGAATGAGTCCTTGGTTTTTTAGTCTGGAAATGCAATTATGCATACAGATGCATTATTCGTAATCAAAATATGCACGGAGTGAAAAAGGCCTATCCGCACTCTCGTTAGCACATATGGAGAGACTAGTTTACATGATATTAACGTTAGATAAGATGGGTTAACCTGAGCGCGAGATCATCAGTGTCTTTATCTGAAACTATTGGAATTCATATGCAGGTAATATACAAATTGTTCGGCCCCAAAGTTTGCACCCTGCAAAGTGATTATCCCCTTCATGTTAGACACACTAATAAATAAATAAAACATTATACGGTTCATCTAACAATCATTTTGATTTTCAGTATTTATCAATTTGACATGAAAAATGAAATTAGTTAACAAATAAAAACTGAGAACTGAAAAAAAAAAAAAAAAAAAAAAAAAAAAAAAAAAGAAGAGCCCAACGAAAAAAGAAGTTATCAGGTGGGCTGTTAATTAAAACTACTACATTTGAATTTATGAACAAGTTTCTGTTGTTGCGTGCTTACATCAAGGAGGGGCAGTTTGAAAAGCATAAGGCTGCCCAAAAAGTCACTGAAGCATATGATAATTGGTCTTTATCCCTGCAAATAATGAATTGGATATAATTAACAGAAAATTAATCAATAGAATGATCAAGCAGTTAATTAGAATATAAGTTTACTATCTATTTCGTTGCTCTGAGAGGGGAACAAAAGGACTTCAGGATTCTTCGGGAGCACATCGGAAATCGGAAATGAGCCGCAGTCGTGGAATTGCTTTTTGACTAGCTTTTTCTCTTTCAGGCTTTGAGCTACATGCGGCATGCCCACTCCCTCATTTCCCTAATTTCCTTCCCCTTTTATTTTTGTTATTCCCCTTTCGAGTTTGAATCTTCCACCACACATCATATACCAAGTTAATACCAACCATTAGTCCATTACCAACTAAGAAATCTACATTTTGTTAAAACATATATATAAGTTTTACTCTAAAACTTATCACAACGGCTTGATTGGATCTCTTTTTAAACTTCTAGTTGAGATTGTTATTAAAAACTAAAAATGTTTTTTTTCAGCTGCGTTTAACAAAAAAAGTTTGAAGTTCTTTTAAATAATGAATAAGCACTTTTAGTTTCAAACATTTTAAAGTAATTTCTAAGAAATACTTTAGATTTTAATGTTTGCAAATGCTTTGGTAGTTAGGCCATATATTCTTCTCAAACTTACCGTGGCTCAATTTCAAACCCACTATAATTTAGAGTAGTAATATCATAAATAAAAAAATACTCAAAATGTTTCTGATGAAACCACGTATAAGCACTTCCTACAGAGTTGATTCCATATGAACCCTAAGTCTAATATGATAAATATCTTGGTCTTTTAATTTATACCTCAAACTGTTGTACAACAATTTACTTTGGTAACATATATAAGCATACAGGGTAGTGTATGCTTATATAGAATTAAAGATTAATGAGTTAGTTTTCAAGCCTTCCAACCATTTTTTCAATTTGAAAATGTAACATGTTCCAAGAATACAAATTTTCTTTTACGGTAGTATCACTGAGTGGTTTGAAAAATCAACAATTAAATATTGCATATAAAAACCTAATAAATCTATTATTTATGGAAGAATTAAATTTTGTATTAAACTTGTATCGCTGAATCACACATACTATTATAACCAACCTAAAAAATAATGAAAAAGAAAAAGGTTGCCTAACCAGAAAAACATCGACAGCTTTAGGAAAGTGATTTGCCGGCTTGCCGCTGAAATTTGTAGGCTCAAAATGGATACATTGGGCAGCCTCATAAAACGTATCTTATGCTTTTTTAATATGTGAAATCAAATCATATAATTAAAGAAAAAGATAAAAGACAAAAGACAAAGCAAAACTAAAGGAAAAGGATGCTTTGGAGGGGCATGCCAAGCCAAATGCCCCAACTAAAATGGGCATTCGTCAAACACTTTAATTAGTGGTTTAATTGCAAATTTTAATCAATGACTATACTTAGGGCATATTGTTCAACCAAATGTTTATACATCACGATCGGATTTGTTCATTTTCTACATTCTAATTTAACGACAATGCCTATAAAAAGTTAAACAAATTAATTATTGTTTAAAAATATGTAAGTGGTGATCAAATGACGATTTTAGTAACAATTATAAAAATACAAATGTGAGCAGACGTGAGCGTAACAACATCAGCTATAGCGAAGAGGTATGAATAGCTTGTTTGTTTCATGTTAGTTTGAGTTGGTGTGTCGTGGCAAGCAGGAAAACAAAGCTCCATTCCTCGTAACAGCAGACAGAGTCAGCTACTACATCCTACAGTACGAGAAAGCTACGGCGAATACCACGTTGCCTCTTTCCCTTATCCTCCTAAGCTCATTTTTTTCCCCAAAAAATAAAATTACACAGCAAAATTCAACAGACAAAAAGAGCGCAAAAAGAAAAAAGAAAAATATTCGGAAAAATCGGTTAACCGAGTCGTTGGGAGGGAAATCGCCACGGGAGCAGAGAGCATTGTCCCTCTCGGACGGACTTGTAATCAGTATCCACCCTCTTCATACACCTCTTTGGGTTTGGAGGCAACCGGTTTCCCACCCCGAGTCTCGTCCCCGATCCGCACCCACTTTCCGATTTCCAGCCCAGCTGCTCGTTTTCATGGCGTTTCATCAAATGCATTGAACAGAAAGCCCCTGAAAATTTTGAAATAAACCTGTACACTTTTAGGGCGACAGAGCTTCGGATTCGGTTCTCTCCTCCTCCTCATCGAAAACCCAGAAAGGAAAAATTCAAACTGGCAAAAAGGTACGTTAAAGATTTCATTTTTTGACAAATTTGTATCGGTTCGGGAATTTTTGGAGCAGTTTTTGTTTTGTTAATATAGGCGTGTTTGATTCTAGTTGGATGCGACGGGCATTGTGTTTTCCGGGCGTTGAGGCTTGGCGTGATTGTTTGAGCGGCGGATCGTACGGTGGCTGGTGGGTTGGAATCAAATGCATTGAGGTGGAGGGATTGTAGGGAGGGAGGGGCCATGAGAAACAACGACATGGTCAGAACGCAGCAGGAAAGAATGTACGGAAATGCTCTGCCTCATCAGCATTCCGACTCCGACCGTCGGATTATCGACGCCCCTGGCCCGTCCCTGCGGCTTTATCAAGTTTGGAAAGGAAACAATGTAGGTCATTAATCTGTAAATACGTCAAATTCCAATTGCATTACATGTAAAAACAACAGAAAATGAATACAAATCTATATATTTATCAGTTAATTTTCATAATTCTCGCATTTCGTAGATTGACCTGTCTTTGGATTGAATTTTGTAAAAGATGGACCTTACAATGAACTCATTTTCGTGTGATTTCTTGCAGAAATTTTTCTTTAATGGAAGAATTATATTGGGTCCAGATTCGAGGTCATTAATCCTTACTGTGTCCCTAATTGTGGTTCCAGTGATCCTGTTCTGCGCTTTTGTTTCGCAAGGACTAATTCATCAATTCCCGCACTACATTGGCAATCTTATTGTGGCTATATGTCCTGTATTAGCAGTATATGTGAGTTCTTCATCTTAGATGACTTGTTTTTCAATTCTTACAACTATCAGAGATGTCACAGTAGGAGGAAAATGAGAGAAAAGAGGAGAAATTTTTAGCCATATACTTTGTAACTTTATTACTAAAGTTTATTCGAGTTAACTATCAAATTGTTGTATTTTGGACACCTGAATATGATAATGTAAACTTGAAACTCTGATGGAGCATAATACTTATAGATTTATTTCCGCTTTAAGGCAGAGACAATCGGTAGTTTCATTGGTTTGTAGAGATGTTGGAAATCACAATATGTTCTGCACATGGTGTTGATGTTGGTCAAGTTTTGATTTTTCCACTCATCCAGGAAGGATGGGCTTTCCACCTAAACCTGAGGGTCAGCACAATCACCACCTACTTGGTGTGGCATAGGGACATAGCGCCACACTAAGAAGGAAGTAAACTTGTGGACATAGGCGGGCAACAAGACCTGCCTGGTCAAACTCATCAGTTGATGGAACCCCTTAAATGAGTCAGTCCTACCTGTTAGTCTATGATTTTGATAAAGCTGGTGTTGTGAAATAAGTTTATTTGCTCGACTATTCTTTAAAGAGCATTTACGTTGTTTGCAGCGGTGAACTTTTGCATGTATTTATAACTGAAGGTTACTTTTGTATGTATTTATAACTGAAGGTTTTTGGCCTATCAACTAGTGCAGGTTGTTACTCTTCTCTTGATTACATCTGCAAGAGATCCTGGCATTATTCCTCGTAGCTTGCATCCTCCAGAACCAGAAGATGACGGCTATGTCTCTAGTATCTCTTCTGATTGGCCAGGAAGCCAGAATGGACCTACAGGCATACCACCCACAAAAGAAGTTATCATTAATGGCGTGATAGTTAAAACCAAATACTGTCAAACATGCATGCTATATCGCCCACCCCGATGCTCTCATTGCTCTATATGCAACAACTGCGTTGAGCGTTTTGATCACCATTGTCCATGGGTGGGGCAATGTATTGGCAAAGTATGCTTCATTTTGATTGAACTAACATTATAGCTTGTATTTGCGTAGTTATTCTATTTTTGAACTTTGTGTTTATCTTTCGTAATATGATGTGAGGTGTAACCTTTTAGCAGAAGAAGCTCTCTCAGATTTTTTTTTTTTTTTTCTTCTGAATTTTAGGTTAAATTAATACACACACACACACACACACACATATAAATATTAAAATTCAAAAAAGACTGATGACAATGTTATCTCCTTGTGCTATGCTTTCATCAAGCAAATCTCTTAGTTGTATCTGTCTATCGTGACTTGTTGAGATGAATGTCTGTCTTTCACTCACTATTTGCACAGTTCATGCATCTAGGGGGTGAGTTTCCAACACTCGATTCATCTCTAGCTTACGTCATTGCCTGCATATAATCATACTCCTGCATTCTCGATCTATGCTTCCTCTCATTGTTTGAGTTTTTTCTCACTAATGTCTTTGTTGGATACGTTGTTATCTTTTTATAATCCTTACACTGTAAATTTATTTTTTTTACAGAGGAATTACAGATTATTTTTCATGTTTGTGTCCTCCACGACTGTTCTGTGTCTCTATGTCTTTGCCTTCTGCTGGGTAAACGTCATGAAGATAATGGATTATTACCATTGCAGTCTCTGGAGAGCTTTATCAAAGTCACCTGTTTCAGGTGCTCTAATTCTCTATACATTTGGAGCTGCTTGGTTTGTTGGAGGTCTCACAGGATTCCATCTCTATTTAATTCTCACCAATCAGGTTCGTTGCTCTTTACCTTTGTTTCTGTTTGGTGTTCCCTCTCTCTTTATCTCTCTTAGAGATAATTTCCACTTGTGTACAGACAACATATGAAAACTTTCGGTACCGGTACAACGTGAAGACGAACCCTTACAATCGTGGGTGTTTTAGCAATGTTGCGGAAGTCTTCTTCTCTGAAATTCCAAGATCTAAACATAACTTCAGGGAAGTGGTCAAGGGCGATACTTCTTCTGTCTACACCACTTCAATGCCATCAGGCCATCCCATGAGCCCAGAGATGCCCAAAGCAAGTTCTGACATAGAAATGGGAAAACGACAAGCTGTTGCTGCTGAAGATCTGGAGGATATACAGACTCAGATTGATAGTGTTGGTGGATTGCAGCGGTGCGAGACCCAGCCAAGACATACAAACTGGGATCACAAAGCCAACTGGGAGAGCTCACCTGATATACAAATGTTGGCTGCGGAGTTTGGAATGGAACATGGTTCAACAGGCAGACAGAAAATTGAAGGGAGTATTGATCTGAAGAGCTAAATTATTGGTTAGAAATTGTTTGTTCTGCTCTTACAGCCAAGATAATAGCTGCTAACCTGGAGGATCGTATTTGGTTAACGCGTAGTGCTGAACTCCACACAGGAAGGATGATGTCACAATCCTTCTCTGTTGTCGGAATGAAAGCTCTGATTCTTTAAATAGGAAGATGCACTTGCATAGAATCGAACTGCCTTATGGATACTTTGGGTCAAGTGTAGTTTCAGCAAAACTAAGGTCTGCATCTACTCTATACATTATTCGTTATCGAATCACGGAAGAGCCTGTACATTGTGGTTAGAGGTCTGGTGGTGGCTTTCGTTCATGCGAGGGTTCAAGGTCCATAGACGTATATGTGAGTTGTTTTCCATTTTTAAGTTGAGAAAAACTGAAACTATTGGTTCCCCCAGAAATTAGACATATGTAATCACTTCTCCTATAAAAACTGTGTAATATATAGATGAACTTTATGTCTTAAAGCTTTGAGGCACTCAGGACTCTAAGGTAGGAGAGAATGTACAAGGGTAGCAGCTAGATGTCTAGATAATGCCGCTTGTGTGTTCACTGAAAATGCCGAAGCCTTTTCTGCTAGAGATCGAGCAAATTACGCAGGTGCTGGAGACAACCTTTTTTACAAGCCATTTTTGAAGGTTACTCTGCCGAGTTAATAGTGATAGAGAATGTTTCTGTCGAAAGTTTTACGCATGTTCATAGAGGGAAATAGTGTAGTCCCCAGATTTGCTTGTTAGGGTTGAGGAGCCTTCTGACTTCTGCGCTTTATTAGGAAGATTTATGTATTCAGAATCTCAGATCATCCAGCTTAATTAAAATTCATTCCCTTTTAAGGAAAAAGAAAAGAAGTGAACACGAACCCTAATTCCTTTTATCGAGCATAATGATGCGAATTCAACATTTTCAGCAACAAACACTACTATTTTCCAGTGTGTTGCGACCACCATAGGTGTAGATTTTTCTCTTTAAACTTTAAACTACTGCAACAAATTTTCAGGAAACACCACTGAGAATCTAGAAACTACAGAAAGCAGATATTCGAAGGAACTGAGAGACTAGAGAGTGTAGAGACGGAAGAAATATCCGAGACCGCCGAAAGAGAAATGGAGAACCCGAGAAACCAGTCACCAAAAAAGCTAAGCCAGGTAGTTCAACTTGGAGGTGGGAAGAACCTCCATGACTATAAGCCACGCCTCACATGTTGAATGAGTCGACCTGGCTTTAGCTTTTCCGGCGACTGGCTTCGAAGCCCAAGTTACCGGGGCCAAATCTTTTGACAACAAAGAGAGTACCATAGAAATTCCCACAGCATCATTTGAAATAATAGTACCCTAGGTTACCAAAGTGCCATTAAACGTTTTTCACTCTGCACCAACTTTTGAAATCAAATATATTATGAAATTGAGGACAAAGGAAGGTATCTGCCTTCGATGAATTTGAACAGAACGCAGGTAAATAAAACCCCTCTAGTTTCAAGTTACTGGAATCTAAAAAGATTGTCATCTGATATTATTCTCTCATATCTCATAGGTCATTCGGACCCTCAGAAGCCTTGTCCGTGGGACTGCCATTACTTCCTCCCCCTGCCTAAAATTTTTCCTCAAGAAATTGTAGGCATAGTTGACAATTATCTTCTTGAACAATGATGATTTCTCTTCTGCCACCACTTCTGTCTCTCCCAACAGATAAACTATACCCTTGTCCATAGCTTCTTGCACAAACTGCATTTCCTCCTCAGCTCCTCTACTGGGTGCAGAGACAATTCTCCTGGACGGACTCGTTGAGCTAGCAGCACTGAGTGACTGAATGGACCCTGATGAAACCCGAGGTGGGTTAACTTGTTGTATTTCTTTTTCAGCATTGAGTGACTGTCCATTTGTCACTGCCTCCTCGGATTTCTCTGTTGTTCCTCCACCAAGTATGAAGTGTTCGTTCTGGATAAATTCTTTCAAATTCTCAACCAATTGTTGCTCGAAATCTTTGAGTTCCTGAATTCTGTCGTTGTAGCCATAACTAACTACACAACGAAACATACGGTACTCCCTTGGCTACAACTGTCGAAATATAAACCTCTCTTCCAATGCAACTTTGCTGATCGGGATAGGCTTGACCGACACAATCACTACAACCGAGTGGATGGATGGTATGTTAGAAACATAGTGAGAGAATATAGGAGGAATTCCCTGAGCAAGCTCAGAATATAGAAGTCCAAATGCCTTGCACACGATTTATATTGGGGTCAGAAGCCAACTGTTTCATGTGTTCACTAGAAACCTTATTTTTGAGCTCAAACATGTATCTTTGCTTGTGCACATAATGCCAAATCCCCATAACCACCATGAGGACAGCAGCAAAGCACAAAGGAAGGTATCCACCTTCAAAGAATTTAAACAAGAAAGCAGATAAATAAGTCCCCTCGACGCCAATGGACACCATAAAGAAGATAGCAATCAACCATATGCTCGTCTGCCATACAACTAACATTATTAGAGTGAGCAAACATGTGGTTATCACCATTACACTAACAACTGCAATTCCTGCATCACAAGAAGATACATGTCATTTTGCAAATTTATATGTTCAGTTCTTTACTATTCAAATTTTGGTGCATAGAGTAAAATTATTTTTAAGAAGGGATTTTTGTAATATTTTGGGTGCTTAATTACCATATGCGTTGCGAATTTGATCACCAGTCTTGAATATGGCAGTGACTGTAATACAAGCAACCATAAGCATGTAGTGGACCTCCGGCATGTAAACCTGGCCCTCATATTTAGCGGAGGTGTGAACAACCTTAACCCTAGGGAAACAACCCAGACTTAATGACTGAGAGATAATTGAAAATGTTGCAGATATCATAGATTGGCTTCCAACAATAGCAGCAGCTATAGCCATGACGAACATTGGCCAGTACAAAGTTTCTGCATAGTGCCACCTCAAGGAAGATTAATACAGCAAACAAAAATAATTATTCAAGCATATAGTTAAATACGATCTCAATAAACAAATTTTCCGGTTTGGAATTTGAGAATGATGCTTGTGTGGTGAGAACGCACTTGGTACAGAATCGTAGAATATATTATCCACCTTCTCTGGGAACTTGCTGAGGTATGCGGCTTGATCGCCCATATGCCATTATCAATGCAGGAAATATGATGCAAGAGAAACTGATCTGTAAAAATTATACTAGTTGGTCCTCTATAAAAATTATACTAGTTGGTCCTCTATAAAAATTTCCTCGTTTCCTTTTCCTAAAGAAACCAAAATTAGATCCACAAGTCTATGTACAACAAGAATGGCTTGGGTATTACTATTCGCTTACCTGTATTGCTTTGACATTAAAGTGACCAAGATCGGCAAACATGGCCTCATTGCCTGCATGTTTATGCCTCTTGCTAGTTAAACAATTCAGAAGGAGAAACATGGTTAAAAATAAAATATATCTATATCTAGATAAATTTATACTTACCAGTAGTGCAGAGAACTACTCCCCCAAGTGAAATCCATGCTTGTTTTCCATTTCTATGGAAGTAACGAAAGATGTAGGTTGGATTAACAGCACGTAATACAGAAATGTCATGTGTGATTAAGTTGTAAATTCCGAACCATAAGATGAGAATAGGAGCAAATGTGAATCCCACTATATCAGTTCCAAATTGTTGAAAAGTGAAGAGAATGATCAGTATGGCTACGGAGACCCCGACAACAACATCTGAAGTAATAGTCAATGTTACCCAATGTATCACTAAACGTTTAAGATACCAACAAAAATAAATAAATTTAATATGATTTGCACAGATAAATAAGTGATTCAAAACCCTAATTTAAAGCCTCCTTTTCTTCCACTTTATTAGTAGCATTTTGTGGCGGTGTTACGATCGCATATAAATATTTCTCTACCTGTGCCTAATGATTTGATGCCTACTGATTGGATCCCGATCACTGCAGAGAGAACTGCATACACGCACATTAAAATGTTTTGTCAGTTCTCTAGCAAGAAAATATATATGCTAAAGTATACAATAACAATGCATTTATTCGTTCAATAAGTCCAAAATTGTATGCCATGAAACTAGTATTCAATTACCTGAAATGCAAGGAGTAAGAACCCCATCTCCAATTACCATGGAAGTTCCCATAATGGTTACAAGGAAAAGAACATATTGGGCTATCTTACTATTCTCGAGCTTCTTCTTGATGGTTTGCGATCGTTTTAACCCGTTGGATGGCGTTTCAAGTTTGTGGTTTGATAGCTCCCTTTCTTCTAGCTGGTTGTTTGGAATTAAGCTCACCTTCGCATGCCGGCACAACAATGAATACAGTGCAAATGTCCCCACTACGAATTCAACAAACTTAATAAAAAAATTCAGAAGATTTGTGAAGGTTGATGCCATCATGTGGTATGATTGAGAGCTATCGTTAATTCAGTACTAGAAATCTGGTCACAGGACACAAAGTATATTGTGTCTTTTGACTCTAAAGGCACAAAAGTATATTGGTGTCCTACAACAATAAAAACAGTGCAGCTAGCCACTAATATTATCTTACCATCGAGAGATTTTTAATTGTGATGAGAACACAAGTAGTACATCACGTGTTTTAATAGGAATGATGGAAAATTTATTTTTTAAGTTATTAACTTTTTAGCACACATATCTCATCATTTGTATAGTGACACCGATCACATTGAAAAATCTCTCTCTTACCATCACCATTATCATTGGCCCACAAGACGATGAAGGTGTTTGGGTTAATATTTGAAATTTGGACCTAAAGGAATGGAAGCCCAAAAGAGCTAAAGTGAAGGAACTCACCCGAGGCCCAGCACCAAGCCCAGCTATCCATCTCAAGACAATATGACGACTCCTTATTAATGAAAAGGTTATGTGCTTACAAGAGAAGTACTTTCTAATGGCATAACATGTAAAAAAAAATGATGACTCACTGAAGTGCTTTCGGGCAAAGCTTGCAACAGCCAAAATAAAAGGTTTATAAAAGGAGGAAGAGGTTCCAGAGACAAAGACACTCAACCAATTAAACAAACAAACATACAAACTCTGCTCTCAAGCCAGATTTGCATCTAAAAAGCTGTAATCAGCCAGACCTTAATCATTTTCAGGATAACTCCCTACAAAAGTCATCTTTTGTCTAGTTTAAAGCTCTGCTATCACCCCTAGTGGCGTACTATCGATTCTCTCGTGTAAACTTGTTTACCATCCATCCATTCCAAACACACAACCATTTGTAATCACAAAGAGAAAAGACTGCAAGATGTTCAACCTGGCCTGACAAGGTGAAATCTTGCCCGACTCTCTTTGTTTCGTCTTTCCATTAATAGATCTGGTTTATGATGTATTCTACATATATATTCAAGTATTTCCAGTCTTTTGGTGATCAGAAGCTCCATCAGTCCTCAGATCTGGTTCACTTAGTGGTTTTACTATCATAAAAGATGAACAGGAATTAGATTGATGGCTTAAGCGAGATCTGGACTTTCACCCTTCAAAGCATATAAGATAATAAACTAAAAGTCCTTGGTCTCAAGGCATAGAAAAGAACTTAATGTAGACTTAACTCATCTACGATAATCCTTTGATAACAAGAAGTTAGAATAACTTAGGGCGCAAAGTGATCGACTTAAACACACTTGTTCTACATCTGTCCATATTGAGATGGCAGTGGCATGCCTAAGCACTTCATTGATTTTGATTGTGAGCCTCAAGGCCTACACCTAAGGCTCTACAAAGGCACATTTCGGAACTAACTTTGTTCTCCTCTTGTAGCCTCTCAGCAAGAAGGAGCTCGACAACCAACAAAAGTGCCAACTCCTCGGGGAGCTGTGTGCTCGAGCCAGGGACCTTTCCCAATGAAATTCCTGCCCGAACAGAAGGCATACTTAATCAAGGATATGAGTGTTAGGGTGTAGAAGATGAGAGACAGGATTCCCACAATGTCTTCATGGGGGCCAATTCCTTGGGCAAAAGTGCTATTAAGCACATAGAGTGGAGACGTCCCCAAGTCACCATACACAGCACCTATGCACTGAAATACCAAACTCAAAGTTCTCCGCCAACTTACATGCTGCTGAACACAAATAAGTAAATTAAAATGGAGCAAACTAATTAGTATAAATCTCAAGACTATGTCAAACTAAACCATCAAGAAGCAAATGGCGGATCTGTGGCTGGGTTCAAATCGTCCCCTTCAATTTAAAGTAGTAATATCGCTTGTAATTAAACAAAAACTATTAAAAAAATATTGAAATGAACAAATAGAGACCTTGCATGTAGCTTTGACCTTTGGGGCGTCGAAACTTTTCCTGCCTCCAAATTAAGGGAGTTGAAACGGCTCACAACTTTATTCTTTGCCATGAACATCTATCGAGCCTTCTTTCTTCTTGCTCTTCAACTTCTCTACCAATTCTCTGAATTGGGTTTTATTTAAACATGATTTATACGCTTAGCTAGTTTTTGTACCATCCTCAAAATTTAATTGTGTCTCTACAATATCCATTGTACTTGAACTGTCATATATAAAGAAATGTAATAGATCTAAAACGTGTGTCATGATCTTTTTTATATATATTTTTTGTTGTTGTTGTCCAATCATAATTTAAATAGTTCTCTAAATCTTTACCCATTTACGTACTTAATTTGTTGAGGCGTGTCATTTCAATTGGTTTCCTTATTTTCTAACCCTACATGGAAGTTATCAATACCTTTTCGCATGCATGGATGAGAGAGATTTCTCAATGTGATTGGTACACGGGATGGTACATCACGTGTCACTATACAAATGGTGGGATATGTGTGCTAAAAAGTTAATAACTTAAATAAATAAAATATCCCACCACTTCTATTAAAACACGTGGTGTACCACTTGTGTTCCCGTCACAACTAAAAATTTCTCCATGGATGCTTATAGTATAGGATTGGATGATATAATAAGAAAATGAAGATATTCATGGATTTTTAAGTATTGGTTGCACGTAGTCATTTCAAAAGTGATTTTTTTTTTTAACTATTTCAAATATTATATATGTAGTTATTTCATTTACATTCAAATTAGCCTTGTTGTCCTTTGAAAAAAAAATTATAGTATTTGGTGAAATCTAAATTTTTTGGGTAACTTACACAGAACTACCTCAACTATTGGGTTATTAACAGTTTCATACCTCGTCTTTAAAAAGTTTCAATGTCATACCTCATCTATGAATTTGTTACAATTTTATACCTTCTGTCAGTTGTCTGTCAATTCCTCCATTAAAATGCTGACGTGACTTGAGGTGAGACCCATTTTCTATTAAAAATTGTTTTTTTTTTTTTAAAAAGCCCCAAAAATCCCAAACCTAGTTCCCCTTCCCCCCGAAACCCCCCATTCCCTTCCCATCTTCCTCGTCGGTCCCCCCATTGCCCCCCAAAACCTTCCTTCTAAGCCTAGAACCCCTCCCCCGCAACCCCCTACCCCTCTTCTCCCTCCTGAGCTTGCCAACCACCTCCCTCTCATCCACTTTCTTCACCTCCCCTAGCATTCAAAACTTAGAAATAAAAAAGAAAAAAAAGACAACCAGTTGAGGTGGTCTGACTTCGACGGGAATGAAGGGTTGGGTGAGGTGCGAGTTCAAATTTTTTTTTTTTTTTTGAATGGGAGGATAGGTGAAGAGAGTGGAGGAGGAGAAGAGGGAGGTGGTTGGGAGGCTTGGGAGGCTTGGGAGGCAAAAGAGGGGTGGTGGGTTTGTGGGGGAGGGGTTCTGGGCTTGGAAGGAAGGTTTTGGGGGGGGGGGGGGGGGTGGGGGGGACCGACGGGGAAGATGGGAAGGGAATGGTGGGGTTGGAGCTGTTGGAGGGAGGAGGAAGAGAGGATGTGGGGAAGGTTAGAGCTGTTGGCATGGGTAGGGAAGGGGTCGGGGGCGGATAAGGTGGTGGCCGGTGGAGATGTTGGTGTAGGTGGGGAAGGGGTCGGGGAAGATGGGTGTGGGTTTTTTTTTAGGGTAAATTATTATTCTAATAATATTTTATTAATTTTTTAATAGAAAATAGGCCTCTTTTCAAGCCATGTCAGCATTTAACAGATGAATTAACACACCACTGACGGGAGGTATGACATTGCAACAAATTCAAAGATAAGGTATGATATTGAAACTTTTTAAAGACGAGGTGTGAAACTGTTAATAACCTAATAATTAAGGTAGTTTTATGTAATTTATCCAAATTTTTTACTAATAATATCTCTCTCTCCATAATGGGCATCATTTCCTCACAAGCTGGTTTTAAGCGGCAAGTTCTTCATTGAATCATTGTTAATAGGAATCCATGAATAGAAGCTTTTTCTACCCATATATATATATGTATGTGTGTCATCATATCGATAGGATTGTCGATCATTTAGCTTGCTATGCTCTTCATACGGTACTTTCTTGTAACTTGTTTGAGGAGCCCTCAGACCTCATATCATATTTGTTGTTGCAAGAATCTCTTATGCAGTGGGCGTTCAGCCTTCTGTTGTATTTTGGTTCTTTCTCGGTAATGAAATGCCATCGATGTTTCGAAAAGTAGAAAATCAAAAGGAATTAAAAGTAGCCCCAAAACCCTAAATAGATATGTTCCAGTCTTCCAGAGACAAATTGGGCGTACGATTAAAAAAAAAAAAAAAACAATTTGCATACTTCGAAACATGTGCTATTAGTGGCATGAAGTGATCGTAACATGTTTGGAGTCCAAAAATTATATTAAACTATTAATTTAATGTAAAGTCAAACACATTACTCATTTGTTCTCTCTCATTTTTTATTTATTTTTTTATTTTTTAAGAAAATGGAGACAACTAGTAGTAAGTTATAATTATCCACCTATTTCGGGGACCGGGAAGATTTACAGAGACAACAGTAATTTGTACTGTTTCTCAATATGAATTGAAAGATTATCGTGTGACATGCCAAATATCGTATGATTTTACTGTGCAACTTAATAGGAAGGAAGGATCCCATGAAAATTTTTAGGGGTGGAAAAAAAATACCGAAAATCCCGAACCGTACTGAAAAAATCTTGAAACCGAACTAAAAAAATCTCAATCCGAAAATCCCGAAAATTTTGGTACCGATCCCGAACCATTCGATAGGGGAATTGGTCTCACAATCTGACTTTTTCGGTAATACCAAACTGAACCGAAGTTAAAATATATATAGTTTTAGATATTATTGGCCGTTGGATTGGTTGAGAATTAATCTCAGCCGTTCATTCAAAATGTGTATCTAAGTCTGAAACTCTCCACCCAAACCCAACCTTCACTCCTTAACTCTCTCTCTCTCCCCCTACACTTTTTCACTCTCTCCCCTTACCTTCATAGTACACCCAATCTTCCATTTTCTTTTCGCACTTAACAACTTCCTCTACATTCGATAATCAATATAGCCACCTTTGCTTCCTTCCACTTCTCTCTTCATTAAGGTAATCTTCTTGTCTTCATTAGGTAATCTTGATGTGGTAAAGTCTGTTTGTGGCTTCAATTTGTTTTAATTTGGGCATTTGAATTCTAGGGTTTTGGATATGGAGGTTTTCAATTTCGTGTTACATTTCGTTTGAAATTTGGGGTTTTTAATCTTATGGTTCTTCTATAATTCATTTATTTCCTCCTCAAAGCTAGCAGAACCGAGCTCCTTCGCCTCCTCCTCGAACTCTCTATGTGAAATCGGAACTTGGAGCCAAGCACGGAAAGCTGATACAACAATTAGAGGTTTCAAAACGACAATCCGCATAGGAGATTTGGGAAATACCGAATTGTACCGAAATTTTCGGTTCTATTTTGGTTTCAGAATCTTGTCCCAAAAATTTTCGGTTTGAGATTTGGAATACCATTTTCGATTTGAGATCCTATACCGAACCAGCTCTAAAAATTTTAGAGAACCAACCAATGACAAATTGAGTAATAAAATCTTAGGGCAAAGTGAAGGCTGGATTTTTGAAGCCTATGGGCCCAGCCCGAAGTGGTAAGGATGAACATAATATGGGATTTTGTGGAATGTCAATATGTTTGACTTCATGGTTTTGATGTTAGTCAAGTTTTGGTGTGGCGTAGGGCCATATTTTGTGCTTCTTTTTTATTTTATTTTTTATAAGAATTCTACTTTGAAGTACTTGAACTAAAAACTTAATTATATCTTCATCAAGTGGAAAGATTTACACATATACATAAACCAAACTGCTCACAAAAATTTCATGGCTAATCCAATGGCATGCATGAACAACATTGCCTTGAATTGGTGTCGGGGCCTGATATGATCCAAATGTCAGTCCTTATTCAACCTTAACCGATACACAGAAATGGGGTGGAAGGAAGAAGAAGGGAGAGAGAAGAAGCAGAGCTCCAATATATTTTTGTATTTAGTTTCTTTTGTAAAATATTTCTCATACCATCAATACTCCAAGCTAGTGTCTTATACAAGTTATGACTGACTCTTGCCAGCTCGCCATTATAGCAAACTTTACTAAAACACGAATAAGCCTAATAATTCAAAATTAAACCCCTAATAGTCATTAAGCTAATCACTTAATTATAGTTCGTATCAGGGCCACACACAAATTCACATATTGAAACACATTAGGCAATCTTGTTTGTTCATTTGAGATCACGGATTCACACACACTGTGATCTCATATTTCATAGGTCATTCCAACCCTCAGAAGCCTAGTCCGTGGGATTCTCATGACTTGCTCCCCTTGCCTAAAGTTTTTCCTCAAGAAACTGTAGACATGGTTGACCACTATCCTCTTGAACAATGACGAGTTTGATCCTGCCACCACTTCCGTCTGTCCCAGCAGATAAACTATGCCTTCCTCCATGGCCTCTTGCACGAACTGCAGTTTCCTCTGCAGCTCCTTTGACGGGTGCACAGACTATTCCGTTAGATGTTGATCCAGCAGTATTAAATGATAGAATGCGCCCTGATGAACCACGAGGCTGGTTAACTTGTTGAGCTGATTCTTCCGCATTCGATGACTGTCCAGTTGAAACAGCCTCGTTTGTTATTTCTCCTTCAAGTACGAAGTGCTCATGGCGGATAAATTCTTTCAAATGCTCAACTAGTTGTTCCTCAAACTCTTTGGGTTCCCCCATTCTATCATTGTAACCATACCTAGCGACACAACGGAACATTCGGTAGTCTCTTGGCTCCAACTGTCGAAATAGAAACCTTTCCTCCAATGCGACTTTGCTGAATGGAATAGGCTTGATCGACACAATCACTATAACAGAGTGGATGGACGGTATGTTGTTAACAAAGTGAGAAAATATAGGGGGAATACCTTGCACAAGCTCAGAATATAGAAGTCCAATTCCTGGCACACGGTTTATGTTGGGGTTAGAGGCCAATTGTTTCATGTATTCACTAGAAACCTTATTCTTTAGCTCGAACATGTATCTTTGATGGTGCACATAATGCCAAATCCCCATGATTACCATAAGGAAAAAAGAAAAGACCAGAGGAAGGAAACCGCCTTGAACGAATTTGTACATCACCGCAGATGCATAAACCACCTCGACACAAAAGAACACCACAAAGAACAGACCAATCAACCATATGCTAGTCTTCCATATCACCAACATTATTAGAGTAAGCAAACATGTTGTTATCACCATTACACTAACCACTGCAATTCCTGCATCACGAAGGTTACATGTCATAATTTTTCTGTTGTACAACTTAAATGTTAGTACACTAGCTATCTACTTCAGATAATGTACTTTTTGTGCTTACCATATGCATTACCAATTTTTTCTGTGGTCTTAAAGGCTGCAGTGACTATAACACAAGCAACCATGAGCATGTAGTTGATCTCAGGTATGTATACTTGGCCCTCATACTTAGCAGAGGTATGAACAACCTTAACTCTTGGAAAACAACCCAAACTCAGGGATTGAGAGATAATTGAAAATGCTCCAGATATCATAGCTTGGCTGGCAATGATGGCAGCTGCTACTGCCACAACGAACGTTGGCCAGTACAAAGGGTCTGCATAAATTACATACCAATGAAGTTAGTTAACTAAATAATCGTTCAATCCGTGTAACCACAAGATATGGATAACTATAATCACCTGGTATTGAGTCATAGAATGTCTCGTCCACCTTCCCTGGGAACTTTCTGAGGAACGCTGCTTGCCCACTATATGCAAGTACTAACGCCGGAAATGTGATGCAAGAGAAACTCACCTGAAAACGTATTATGGTGCAACAATGTCGGTTATCTACAGTTCTCTACTGGTTAATTATTTTCCTATACGTATTTTGGACATTGTCGTTCTCTCTATTAAAATTATTCATCTCTAACTTAAAAGTTAAGTTTTTTTTTTTTTTTTTTTTTTTGGGAGAAACCAATATCAGATCTACCTAATTCATTAAAAAAAAAAAAAAAAAAAAAAAAAAAACTTTAAAAAAAATCCATCATGAAAAATTTTAAGCGTATAAGGTAATACTTACTTGGATTGCCTTGACACTGAAGTGACCCAGATCAGCAAACATGGCCTCGGTCCCTGGTTTAATTTATGTAACTAGTTAAATCGATATATTCACAAGGAGATTAGGTAATTTAAAAATATATAAAAGGGGTTAATAATAAATATATATTTACCAGTAATGCAGAGGAATATTCCCCCAAGGGAAATCCATCCCTTTTTCCCATTTCGTCTAAAGAAATCGATGATATATTTTGGATTGAAAGCACGTAATACACTAATGTCATGTTTGAATAAATTGTAAAGTCCAATGCCACCGATGAACATGAACCACACAAGGATAATAGGTGCAAAGGTGAATCCCACTTTGTCAGTGCCAAATCTTTGAGCAGAAAAGAGTATGATCAGGATTGCTATAGAAATCCCCACGACAGCATCTGGATTATTCTAAGTCGATGTTAGCAAGTGTCTGAAACTGCTAACAGAAAATAAATGGGAACCCTCTAAGACTTGTATACATTAAATTCACATTACCTGTGCCTAATGACTTGATCCCGCCCACGGCAGAAAGGACTGCACGCAAATTAAACCTTTAGGTCAACTCTTGCAGGAAAATATATGTATTTGTATAGTTAGTTACCAATATACTATTATGTATATAAAATTATAAATAAGGGTAAACTAATAATTAATTGTTCAATAAGTAAGGAAGTCCATGTTGTGTGCCAATTTAAATACTAGTTAATTACCTGAAATGCAAGGAGTAAGAACCCCATCTCCAATAACCATTGAAGTTCCCATAATGGTGACAAGGAAAAGGATGTATTTTGCAATTTTACTGTTCTCGAGCTTCTTCTTGATGGTTTGGGATCGTTTTAACTCGTTGGAAGGTATTTCAAGTTTGTAGTTTGATAGCTCCCTGTCTTCTGGTTGGTTATTTGGAATTAAGCTCACCTTTGCATGTCGGCAGATCAAGGAATACAATGCAAATGTCCCTCCTACAAATTAATACTTAACTAGTTTGTCAAGGTAATTAATGATATGTTCATTAAGTTAAATGTGGTGTCATGTATGAATGAGATTTAAGATGTCGAATATGAAAAAAAAAAAAAATGAAATACTTCAACATCAGTAAGAGATTAAACTTGATGCTTATCAATCTTACCATCACCGTTGTCATTAGCCCATAGCACGATGAAGGCATACTTAAGTAGAGGCAGGAGCGCTATGGTATAGATAATGAGAGACAGTACCCCTATAATGTCGTCATTGTTGTCAATAGCATGAGGGAAAGTGCTAGCATACACATAGAGCGGAGACGTTCCTATGTCCCCATACACAATCCCAATGCTCTGAAATGCCAAACTCAACGTTCTATGCCAGTTATTTGCCTGCAACAAAAGTGGATCAAAGTATAAATTTCAAGAAGTCTTACCATTTGTATCAGGACCGTCCTTGAGATTTTTGGGATTTCGTGCGAAATTTATAAAAGGGTCTCTCCTTAAAATAGTTTTAAACAAAGTAGAACAATGCATTGAGGTTAGAAAACTAATCACTTAAATCAAAACAAAATTTATCACTCACTATTTGCAAGTTTACAAATGTCATTAATTATAAGTAAAAAAGCAACAAAGATAACCTTCACTAAATAATACAAGGGTTATTATACAAAATGGTCTCTGAGATTTACATGATTAATAGAAATGGTCTTTGAGACTGAAAATCAATAGAAATGGTCTCTGAGATTGTCCACCATCCATGATTTTGGTCATTCGGTTAAAAACTCTTGGGCAATTTTCAAAGCTTTGTAACTCAATCAATTTTTAACTAAATTCGACTCATAATATATCAAAATTAAGATAAGAAAGTGTAGAACAAGATTATACCTATTTGGAAGCCCAATGATTGCCGGAGAGGTCCGGAAAATAGCCTGACAGGTGACTGGTCCGCGGAAAACTGGAAAACTCGCCGGAAACTGGGTAAACTTTAAACGTTCATAACTTCTTCAATACTCAACGCAATTGAGTGATTCAAAAATGAAAATCATACTTCTCAATGAGACGAGGAGAATGGTATCTTTATTTACTGCTAACTCGCCGTGGTTTGGCCGAAAAGCTGCTCGAAACTGGCTAACTCGAAAATGGTTAGCCAATTTTAAGCCGTTGTCCGACCAAACCACGACGAGTTAGCCTTCGGAAAAGGTACCATTCTCTTCGTCTCATCAAAAAGTATTATTTTCATTTATCACTCAATTTGATTGAGTATTGAAGAAGTTATGAACGTTTAAAGTTTACCCAGTTTCTGGCGAGTTTTAAAGTTTTCCCACGGACCAGTCACCTTTCAGTCTATTTTCCAGCCATCTTCAGCAACCATTGGGTTTCTAAATAGGTATAATCTTATTCTACACTTTCCTATCTTCATTTTGATATATTATGGGTTGAATTTGGTTAAGAAACGTTTGAGTTACAAAGCTTGAAAATTGCCCAAAATCGTTTTTAATGGAATGACCAAAATCATGGATGGTGGACAATCTCAGAGACCATTTGTATTGATTTTCAATCTCAGGGACCATTTCTATTGATCATGCAAATCTCAAGGACCATTTTGTATGATAACCCATAATATGAAGCAATTCAATCTTAAACAGCCAAACATGAAGAAAAAAAAAATTCCTTCAAAACTCTAACTTTAAAGTTTCACTTGAATATATAATATTATTATATGATAAAATTGAAAACTATCATTTTTTAGGGTATTATTATTGACAATCAGAATATCTCATTGTACTCCAAATTTTTATATTGAGTAATGTTAGGGAGACAAAATTTTGTAAATTAAATGAAGTGTAAGTTGATGATTGGATTAAGCATTGATAAACATGCTCATTTCCTATTGGTGACACATCATTTAGTGTCCCTAGCATTATCGTTTTATATTTAGAAAGGAAAAAAAATTACTCTTATAAGAATGCACAATGAGATTTTAAAGTGCTAATAAAAGCAATATCTAAATATAGAACATTATTACATAATATTACATAACAAAACTTTTGGGGGCCATTCAAATTTAGGGCTATGTGCAACTGCACCTTTTGCCGCCCCACCCCCCCCCACACCAAAAAAAAAAAAAATTGCCCTTTTGATTTGTACCATGCTATCTGATCACTTGTCATACTGTATATTTCGTTGATACTATCACATGATGTACTATTTTTTTAAATAACAAGACAATAACATACATGGACAGTTGAGATTGTAGTAGCCCATAAATTGGGAAAGGGATCCTCTCTAGATCCCTTCCACCTGAGCCACCTAAGTGCAAAATCCGAACCCTTGAAATTTGATCCAACGGCTAAAGTTATTATAACTTTTAATGAGACCCCTTATTTTTAACTGTTGGATCAAATTTCAAGGGCCCTGATTTGTGTGGAAGGGAGCTGGAGAGGATCCCTTTCCCATAAATTGGGGGTATTTTGCATGCAATAAAAATAAAGCATTGATCAATCAAGAAAAATAATTGGATAATTGTTAATTAAAAGGTTATTTGCTGATGTCATATCCCAAAACTGGATGAGTAGCTAGTTTTTGTTTGGAGTGTCAGTTTTGAGTCTGTAATATATGGTTTCAAAAAGAACAACGGTCGAGAGTAAGAATCTCACATTGAAAAAAAAGAAGAGATCTTGCATGAGTTTATAAGTAATTAGGCTACTCATTATATTGCCAATTGGTTTTATGATGGAACCTCAACTTTCTTCAATGACGATATCTACAAGACAAGTTGCTATGCAACAAGCCTAGTAGGGGTAGGTTCAAAAAACTGAAAACCCAAAAATACGGAAAACCGAACCTAACCGAAACCGAAAAAACCAAACTGAACGAAAAAACCAAACTGAATTGAAAAAACTGAAGCTGAACCAAATTCAATTCGGTTCAGTTTCAGTGGTTTAGAAACCGAACCGAACCGAATAATTAAATTAAATTTTATTTATTTATTTAATTATCTGTTGCTGGGATTCGGTTAGATTTAGGGTTCCTGTAGATTGGTTTTGTTCTTTAACTCTGATAATTATCGGTGTTGATTCTTGTTTTCTGTTCTAAGTTTAGGAGGTGTAGGATATAATTTGAATTCTTGATCATATATGCTATATGAAGGGCTATGAAGCTAAAAAAATTGTTATTTTTGGGCTAGGAGGTCTAGAAGAGGATGTTTAAGCGGCTACAGGGATTGGTTTTCGAGATATTGATGCTGGCATTTTCTGGCAGCAGATGAAGATTCCAGGTTTTAGGGAATGGCTCTAAAATTCTTTGGTAGGGATAAGGGATGTGCATAATACCTGGGGTTCCTCTGTTTAAAGAGAAGGAGAGAGTTTTTATTTGAGATACAAATAGACAAGAGAAGGAAGAAACTTGTGTTGCGGAAGCAGTACCCGCATGAACAGTGCATAAAGAAGTGAGAGACAGAAAAGGCACACAGCTTCAGTAACTGGAATGCTTAATTCATCAAGCGCTATATGGATTGGTCCCAACAAATGTATACTTGGTTATAAACTCTTTCACATTTTTTCTTACAGAAGACCATAAAACAAACATCTATTTTGCCAGTAAACTAAGCTAAAGGCAGCATGTGATGCCCCTTAATTAATTATATTCATCAATAAAAATGTGTTGATCTAGTTGGAATGCTTATGTTATAATTGCATTGGAGATGTTAAAATTTAAAATAAAAACCGAAACCGAACCAGAAAAAACAACCAAAAAAAAATGAACCAAACTGAAATTTCGGTTCGGTTTCGATTTTGATAAAAAATCCGAACTGATTTGAACCGAACCCAGCCCTAAAGCCTAGTTAGAATGTGGACGGATTTCAACGATTTCAATATTCTAGGACGTTTTTGGTATTTAACTAGGCGAAATTAGGTTTATATCCCTAATTTTTTTTCTTATTTCATTTATGGAAACATTACTCTTTTTTAATTTTTTTTATCAAGATCGTTTGGTTTTATCATGTCATTATTTCAATAATAAATATTTACACATCAACATATTTAAATTTTACAATAATAATTATTAGACTATTTCTAAATAGACCCATTTATTATAAAAAAAAACGTTACATTTAATATACTTATATTCATGCTTAAATTTTTGTATCGTATATTTCTTTTTATATGTACCCATTCTTAATTTGTAACCAATTTTCTTTTTAGTTTTGATTTGTACACACACATATATATATTATATATATATTTTGTGAATATGAGGGGGAAAAAATCTCTATTTTGTATTAATATTTGCGTGATTTCAGGAAGGATTTCATAATTTTGGTTATTAAATTTCTTAATTAATACTGAAATTTAACATTTTGTCATTTAATCAAAGTATTCACATTAATAAAGTTTCAATCTAAAATTTTAATCAATCATGAACCGGTACCAAAATTTTCCTTATAAATAAGTGATATTGACCTTTAGATTGTAATCTTATTCATACTATCAATTACACTTGAGAGATTTTTAAAATTTTCTAGTAGACTCCAGATTGTTAATGAATTTCAACTTATCCTATTGGATTTATTCACTTTGTCAGAGATGGGAGAAAAACTTGTGTGGGGTTTTGCTTGCCAATGAACGATGCTGAGTGACACTACTATCCACTCAAAACTTGCCACGTGATAAGATTTAAATATAATTTTTTACCATATTTATATTTAAAGTTTTCATAATAAATATTCCTAATTAATATTCTAATTCATCTAATCTTCTATAATTTTCCTTTCTTTATTTGTCTCCTTTCCTTCTCAACTTGTCCCACTCCTTTTCTTGCATTTCTTCATAAATATATACAGGAATAAGGAGAAAAAAAAAAATAGAATTCACTTTAGAACCAAAGAACCAAAGAAACCATCAACCACGTTTTGATTGAGAAAACCAATCACCCTATAAAGCCATTGCCTAGATACATTTTGAATGAACTAATACAATCATGGAAGCATCTTTATCTCTTCTTCTGGGGTTTGAATTTCTATACAGCAAATTAATTACGAGAAAATTTTCATTTCAAAATGGTAGATTCAATTTGTATCACCTTTGTTGGATATTAGAGATTTGTGTGTTAATCAATCAAGTCAAGTTCGTTTGATAAAATTTGCTACCGAATTGCAAAAAAAAAAAAGGGACAAAATCGGTTAGTTTCTAGGTTCCATGATATGAAAAGTTAGAGAAGGTGGGTTCTTATATTTTTTTTTTACAAATTTTTCACAGAAAAGCAAGGGGAAGAGAAGAAACAATACACTAACTGGGAAGAAAATCTAACAAGAAAAAAAAAGAGGAATTGAGTAAAAAAGTGTGAGGTGTAATTATTTAGTAGAAAATTCTATTATGAAAAAATTAAATATAAAATTATAACAAATACTGTAGATAAAGCTTCTAAGTGGTATGTTACTGAGTGGATGGTAGTGCCACTCAGCATTATTCAGTGGCAAGTCAAGCTCCACATAAGTTTTTCTCCAGAGATGAAAGATGGTACAAATATTTAAAGTAACTAAAAGTATGAAACGCATGCAATATGCATACATGGTAGCTAATATTCTATACTGACCTGTGAGCCATGCCTTCCATTCATGGAAACCCTTCCGGCCTCCAAATTGAGAGAGTCGACACGGCGCAACTTTGCCCATGACACTTTTCTCTCCTTCAGTTGCTGGTTCGTTATTTCTTTTGCTTCTTCTGTCTCTTCCTCTTTCAAGCTCACCACTTTCCCCGCCATCTCCTCTCTGTTTTTCTACGACTCTTTCTGTACTTGTCCTTCTACAAACTCACTGCCTTTCGTTTTATAGGCAAAATCAAACACGGTTGGCACACTGATTGTATTTCTGACGTCTTACCTTGATTTATTTATTTGTTCTTCATCAACCTTAAGTGCACGCCGTACGTTGTTGGAGTGACTAACTCGCATATTCTCGTATTTTATAGTAATTTTATATGCACTAATGTTTTTGTCTTTTGTGGCAATTAGTTTGTGTTGCCGCCAATTACGATTAACATGTATATTGAGATAATAATTCATAGATATAACGTCACTCAGTACAAAGGTCTTGTGGTATTCTTTTTCACTTGAAAGTGAGAGGCCTTAGGTTTGAATCTCGTGAATGACGAATTCGATACCAAATTAGGCTGCCCATTGTGTGGCTTAATTGAACTCCCCATTCCTTAGTGTAAAAAATCGACTGTACTAAAAAAAAGTCATGGATATACCATTTTGGTAAGGGTAATGCTAGGAGACGAAAATTTTAAACTAAATTTGCAAACCAAATAATGTGTCACCAATAGGAAATAAGTACGTTAATCAACACATAAGTAATAATCCAATTATCAACTTCTACATCATTTGATTTACAAAATTTGGTTTAGAAATTTAGTCTCCCTACCTTTCGATAATCATGCACTACTGGAATTAAGTGTGTCGACCTTAATAGTTTCATAGCTATTTTGTTGGGAAATAGACAAAAATGACCCATTTTCTTAATCTTGAGACATAAATATGATTTTTCGAATATGCACACGTCATGCACAATAATAGGACAAAAATACGGTTTTTCTTACACCTTGAAATGACCTAATTGCCTTTGTTTAGAAATGAGTTGTTTCCTCTCACCCATATAGGTCATTTGCAGAAAAATCTCTCTCCCACCCTCTCGGCTCTCTCTTTTCTCTCACTTTCTCCCTCACGCACTCTCTCTCCCGTTCTCACTGTGCACACACGATGCACAATCATCCCGACCAACACCGTCCAAAATGAAGCCACCACCATTTCATCTCGTCCTCATGAGTCCAAAACACCTAGTCTTGTCACGAATCTCATCCCCGATCGTGGGATCAAAACTCAGGCCGCGACATTTCCGACCATTTTTCGGCAAAATGGCAAACAATCGAGGCTCAAGACCACCACCACAGGACTCGCCTCAAGGGTGGGAACAAAGCCTAGTCATCAACTACTAGTGCCTACTACCTGGGAACAAAGTCCTATCTCTCTCTAACCAGAAACAGAAAAATGTAGAAGATGAGAGAAAGCTAGCAAAGCAAAGAGAGAACTCCAAACTACTAGCTAGTTGTAAAATGCAACAGAAACAAAAGCTCTCTAATTTCTTTGGGTTTTTACTCGTTCTCTCTCTCCACGAAAAGCCTGGGGTAGGAGGGGTCAACACCACCAAAACAAGAAAATCTATTTGTTCTTGACCAAAAATAAGAAAACCCATTTGTTGTTTGCTCTCTTCCTTCCAATATTTGCAGATTATGGGATTAAAGAAGTGGGCTTTTTCATATTTAAGGGGAGAATAAACCCAAAAAATGTATGAAGTAATAGTGAAACAAAATTTAATCAAAATTTCCCTTTTCTATATCATGGGATTCCCCACCTTGTCTGAATGTTGTGACGGTGTTTACTAAAATTGGCAAAAATTAGTGTTTTGTTGGATGAATTTTTTAGGATATGCTCATTGTATATCAGTGTTCTTAAAAAGGGCCTAGGCGGCGCCTAGGCGCTAGGTGGAGGGTGGCCAAGGTGTTTTCTTGCAAAACGGTGGGAAAAAATGGATGGGCTCTAGGCGGCCCTAGGCAGGGTGGGTGACCTAGGCGGAGCTAGGCGGTTTTTTTTTTTTTTTTTTTTAATTAAATTGAAATTGAAAAAAAAAAAATTCCTATCTTTATTCTAACTTTCTAAGTTCCCGTTCCTTATATGTGCCTATGTTTATACCTTGAAATTTTGTTAATTTTATAGAATAGGTGTGTATCAACTTAAATTTTGGGATGTTAAAGACTTTTACTATATTTCCTTATTTTCCTCCTATTTTGCATTTTATGTGGTTTTAAATTGTGAACTTGTTGTACATATGTCATCCTACAATACTCATCACTATGGTTATATGACATATATGCTTAATATGTTTTTAAATTTTGAACTTGTTGGATACTCTTTTTGCATTTTATCGTTCTTTTATTATCTTATCCTTAGATTTCATACAAGTATAATTTTTATAAGTGTCAATATACACTTATTTACAAGAGATTTACCTAAATCCGCCTAGGCGCTGGGCGTTGGCTCGCCATCCGACTAGCGCGTAGCGTGTTTTAGAACCTTGCTGTATATACACGACATGCACTTGATATGCTCACAGATTTGAGCTCAACCAAAAAACCCAGAGCTCACAGCTCTCTCTTCAAAATAAAAAAAATGATGCAATGAGCTCTGAGTTTTTACTATTTTATAAGTGGATATTTTCGTCATTTCATTTTTTTGCATTGTGTTCACGGCTTGTATATGATTGGTTTGTCCTATTTATGTTCCAAGATTAAGAAAATTGGTCATTTTTGTCTATTTCTCTATTTTGTTTGCAATACTGGAATTATACAAAGATGGTTTACAAATTCAATGGATTTCTTGACAGGTCCATATCTTCTTTTTTTCATTCTATTTTATTCAAGGGAGAAGATATTAATACTATAATGAAAAGAAAAAAAAAATGATCAGTCTAAGTCACATAATGAGTTAGACATAACTAACTATAAAATCCGGCTAAGTCACTATCTATGTGAATCAAACTTCTCGATTTTTTTTTTGAATAAACGATTTTATCTACACTAAGGGAGAGGCAGTAGGTTTAGCCTCACAATGAGCTAGCAATAATGTGGTTCAAATTCACCTTTGACGGGAATCGAACCTAAGTCCTTTCAATTATAAGTGAAGATGAATACTACTAGACCTAAGGGAGAGGAATCAAACCTTTCAATTTACAAATAAAAAAGGGGTGTGCTATCCACACACCCCAAATTACTTCTTACACACCCCTTGTTAATTTCTGTTCGTTGATCTTCTTTAATTCATCCCATCCGACGGCCGAAAATTAAAAATGTGTGTGAGAAATAAAATGAGATGTGTGGATATCACATCCCATGAAAAATAACTCCCACTAGACCTTAAGTAGTATTAAACTAATAGTTGGTAATATATAGACAATATAATATTGTTAAGCAGCTAATTATGTAGCATTTGACCAACTAACTGTGAGCCTCGTGTTTAACCAACTAACTGTGAGCCTCGTATTCATCCCAATTGTACATGCAAAAGTAAGAAATATTATTTTATCAAACATTATTGCTATGATTAACAATATTATATCCTCCATGATTGGTGAAAGTAAATCAACATATAGCGTCTTGAAGTATGACATCCACAAAAAACACCTCCACGATTGATACGAGAAAGGTGTAAAACAATTGAATAATAAAGCTGAAAGAATCAAATACATATGCAGTTTTTTCAACAAAATAAATAAATATGCAATTTTTCAATTCACAGTACATGAAGGGTCATTGTGGAAAAAATACAAAAACAAAAGAAATGAGATTATGAAGGAGCAGGGGACATGTCACATAAGGATGAGGATCCTTCTTGGATTTTTTTTGTGAGAATCTTAGGAATCCTCACATTATGACTGTTTATTGTACATCGTACGGTCAGTTTTCATTAGTACTATTTGTGTTTAATTTTAAATAAAAAATTCAAAACGTTTTATGGCCGCACAATGTACAATAAATGGTTAGGTATGAAGATCCCTAAAATCCCCACAATTTGAATTTAGATGGGATCCAAATCTGTCACATAACGCCGTAACCTTTGTTTGACGTCCCTTGTGATTGGAGGTAATGCCTTCGCGAGGATTTGCAAAGATTACTAATATTGAATCCCTAGTAATTGGCGAGGTCGTAAATCTTCATTGATGCACCTTCTCACTTCTTAGTACTTACGAATAACATATTTTTATTATTATAAATTTTATAGATAAGTGAAGATAAATATCATTGAGACCGTAATGCTTGTGACTTTAATTATTAATTTTTTTAGTGTCTAATATTTTTCAGTTCTGAATACTATAGGCGTCCCGCATGATTGGCTGTCAAGTGTCAAGTCATTTTTTTACATGAGTGATGTCGGAGGAGTGAAAAACTGAACTCGGACTTACGACTAGAGTAAAAATGCTCCTACAAGCTTAAGCTTTAAAGGTGTTGAACTTTTGGTTGAGGCGAACAACTTAATGGTACGGGTAGACCGTTGCATGGTATTTTGTGCTAAAGAAATAAAAATATGAGGATAAAAATTTATACATTTTATTTTATTGACAATGAATGCCACTGTGGCGGTAAACTCATATCATATAAGTCTTTCTCTTGATTGATCGAGAGGTATTATACTCTGATGGCACCATAATCAAGGCCTTTAACAAAAAAATTCCCTTTAATCTTTCTCTATAAATATATAACTAACGGTATTCGAACTTGAGCCTCTTACACTATTCAAAAAGAAGTACCACTAAATTAACTAGTTTTTTTTTTTTTTTTTTTTTTGTTGAAAAGGGCAATTTGGCTAATTGCCTCACAATGACTTAAAATTTTCTAGATTTAATTTTTAAGCTTTATCCTTAAAGGTTGGAGATAATTTAAAAAGAGGGGGATGAACTTTGCCTCATAATGAGCTTAGTCTCACAATTGATGACCTTTCTTAAGTTCAAAGAAGAAAATGCGGAATAAATTATTAACATAACAACATAAAAAGAAGAATTAGCAATTTTTTTTTTCCTATAAGCAATTTCAGAAAATAGAAACATAAGCTAGAATAAACTCATAAGTCTTTTCGATTTGAGATTGTGAGTATGCCATGACGCTGATGGTGAAAGTAGTCAATCTCACCCTAAACTTTTTGTTTAAAAAAAGAAAAAGAAAAGAACTCTTTCAACTATTAAGCAATTAAGCCGCAAGAGTTGGAGGAGAAAAATAGTTTATGGGTTATAACTTAAAATTTTCTAGCTTAAATTTTTAACCTTTATCCCTAAAGGTTGGAGATAGTTTATGACAAGGTCTGATCCCGATGTCCGTGGGACATCGGAATGGTCACATGCTGGCTGATACCTGAGGGTGACGAAAGTCATTTATTGAATGCAAATGCTGAGAATAAGAACTAAATAAGACTTATAAATTTAAATATAATGAATATGCAATTAAGGAACGTGTTCAGAACACACATCTAATCTAGAACACTATAAGAAATAATATAAAAATTGAATGAATAAGGAATGGGTCCTATACCAAGAGGACTCAAAGATGCTGATGCGGAAGTGTCTTGACGCGGGGATCGTACTCCTCGAATCTAAATCCTGAGGGGGCGCAAAACAAACATGAGTGGACCAAGTTGATATATATATATATATATATATATATATATATATAAAATACTGAAACAGTTATCAACATACTAACCCCCAAAGTTTTATGAAAACATCAATAGTCTAATATGTAATAGGTTTTTCCGAAAACCTTAGCATGCCATAATACCTTTCATAAAACATATGCCGTGTATAGTGTGCTAACTAGTGGTATTAGTATCAATATCTCATCGTTTGGAACGTTTCCTTCATAACACTTCATTTGCCAAACAAGCATATATATCACTTGCCAAACATGCATAATAGTATCATTTGCCAAACATGCATATATATCATTTGCCAAACAAGCATAACAGTATCATTTGCCAAACAGGCATATATATCATTTATCAAACAGGCATATAGTAACCACCAGATACGAACAAAAACATTGAATATAGTCTTTCCAAATATAGGTACATATATCACAAAAGCATCTTCATAGTATAAAGTCATCCATCATCTATACTATAAAGAAGTGTGTGAAAACATGTTCTAAATAGTATATCGTCATCCATCAGATACCCTACAAGAACATGGGTTTAATAGAAAATAAGGTATTCCAAAATAAGCTCAGTATAGCATGATTTACTGAATACGTTTTGTAAACGTTTTACGAGAAGTTGATTATCATGCCCCGATCCCGATATTCCTCGAACACCAGGATAGGCACTTCCTGGCCGACACCCGAGGGTGACGAAAGCCAGCACGTGACCATTCCGATGTCCCACGAACATCGAGATCGGGGCGTGGCAGTTTAAGATGAGGGGAATGGACTTTGCATCACAATGAGCTTAGCCTCACAATTGATGACCCTTTCTTAAGTTCAAAGAAGAAAATGCGGAAAAAATTATTAACATAACAACATAAAAAGAAGAATTAGCAAATTATTATTATTATTTTTCTATAAGCAATTTCAGAAAATAGAAACATAAGCTAGAAATAAACTCATAAGTCTTTTCGGTTTGAGATTGTGAGTATGTCATATGATGCTGATGGTGAAAGTAGTCAATCTCACCCTAAACTTTTTGTTTAAAAAAAAAAAAAAAAAAAAACTCTCCAAACTATTATTAGCTACAATATATTTGCAATTTGGTTTCAAAGAGCACCAACTTAACCTACAAACAGGTCACTGTTGTAACTCTGTCTAGGTGACGTCCTCATATTAGCAACTGCCCAATCTAACGGAAAATTTTTAGGTGTTCCGGGTACACCAAAAAATTTTGGTGTACCCACACTCATTAAAATTTGATTTTATTATTTTATTGAAAAAAAAGTGAGGGTAGGGTCCACCATTATGAGTGAGGGTACACCAAATTTTTTTGGTGTACCCGGAACACCCAAAAATTTCTCCAATCTAACCCAGTGCTGACCTTTTCCTTTATTTTTTTACAATTATCTCTAAAGGAAGAGATGATAATCAAATGGCTAGATTATGGGAAATTAGTTGTGATGTGTGCTTCTTTTTTGCGTGAGATTTTAGGGAGGTACAGGAAATAATTAATTCTCATACATAAAGCACCAAAATTATAAAATAAAAGAGTTTAATCAAATCTCTAAAAGGCATAAATGTGAAGTCTAGAAATTCAAAAGTGAGGCGCCTATATCAAAAGATCCCTTTCTTTTTCATATAACTAGTAGGTTTAGCATCATTCAAATTTTTAGTTTTCATATATAAGTGCTTCATAACATCATAATTTAGATAAAACACTTCAAATAAATACTTAAGAGAAAAACTCAACCTACTGTGTATCATTAAAGAATTTCATAATTAGACCATGACAAGTGGATAAATGAGGAGTTTTCTCACCAATTGAGCTCTTGCAGCATATGTGGTCAAATATTCTAGTGGATAGAGTCTTGAATTTCCACCCCAATATCCCGAGTTCGAAACTCTTCATTCCTTAAACAATTGTAGTAGGTTCAAACCCTTTCCTTTTAATTAATAATACAAAAAACCTTGTAGCGTTTTCCTATAAAACTTACAATTATCAAGATTGTTTTTTTCTTTCTAATTTACTATTTAAAATACCTTATACTCAGTTAGCTTTGCCGAGAAGCAAGGCACAAGCGTGCGCAATTTGAGTGCTTATGTATTAATAATCTTTTACCTTTTTTTTGTCGAATATTGATACTTTTTTACTTAAGTATCATACTAGTTGGCCTTCAAGCTGATTAAAACAAATATATTTGACTTTGCTTCATCATTTTAGGCTATTTTTGTCATTATATTTTGCATCAACTCCTATCACTGCTAATCACTTTGTCGGGTCGGGGCTCGATAATAGAGTTGACTTCGTATCTTTCACGAACCCAAAAAAAGAGTTGACTTCTAAAATAAATATTTGATTTTTTTATTCCGGCAGGTCCGACGCAACACTTGAGACAACAATGTGATTGTTTAATTTAACAAAGCCATATTTTGTAAATAAAAATGACTAATAATAAACCATGAGGAGTCCCTTTTATTTTATTTTATTTTTTGAAGAAAATCCCTTTCATTTTCAATTATACGATTTACCTAACACATTCTGAATTCTGTTCATCTTATGCAATTAAGTTGTTAATAAGGTTTAGGTAGAGATACTATCCAATTTTGAAGAGTGCTTTTAAGTTGTTTCTATTTTTTTAGTAAACATTTCAAATAACTACATGATATTTTGAAAATTGGCCACCTGTTAGGTCATTAGCATTGAGAGATGACATGGACAAGTATATTGCAATACATGTTTATAATTTTACTAACAGTCATTTCCGAAGCTCTAAATCTCCAAAATTAACTTTTTATCCAAGTTAAACCTTAAAACTTTTTAGACTAAAAGCAGTAGTGTTGTGAAGGACATGTGAGAATACTAGTGGTTGCAAGGTGGTGGACAAGTGAGGTTTAAGGGTGTATAAAAGTGGCCACTTATATAGTTTTTTCTTCTTCTTATATTCCTCATTCTTCTTAAAATAGCAAAATCAGTATCCGGTCCCTAATTTTTATTGTTCATTGACCAAGACTTTATGAGTTTTTAGATTTTGATCAAAATCCCTATCATTAATATATTAATAATGACATGTAAGTTACATAATTTTTATAATAAAAATTAGTAATGGATTTAGAGTTTTAATACTCACACCCTTATTAAACTCCTAATTAATTTTCAATTCAAACATTTCAAAATATAAAAAATAAAATTAAAATAAGTTTGTACCTATATGTTCCCATTCTTAAAATATACCAATTTGTTATATGAAAAATGTACCCTTTTTTAATATAAAATGTACCCATTTTTTATATAAAATTCATTCAAGCTTTTCTCTAATCCATATTTTAAACTTATATGGGTACATTCTATTTCGTTGATTTGAGAATATATCCATGTCCAGTTTAATAGAAGAAATTTAATAATTTTCTTCTTCTTTTTTTTTTTCTTTTTTTTTTGTGTGTTTTTGAAAAATGTACTCATGTTTTGGTACAATTATTTTTTGGTTAGTTTTGACGAACGTACTCATGTGTTTTGTGTGTGTGTGTGTGTGTGTGTGTGTGTGTGTGTGTGTGTGTGTACAAATATATTGGAGAGTATAGTTCATCTTTAATATTTTTAATCCCATAAATTATGGGTTTTATTTAAAATCTCATTAATATAAATAACTACAAATTTCATATTTAATTTAAAAATATAATAACCTACATGGAAATATATTATTACATTTATGTTAGGGACTACGATTAAAAGCTAAAAGCCACAAAGGTTTTAGTCAAAGAACATTGGTAGTTAGAGACCGCATCCAAAGTGTCCCTTTGAAAATTCAAAAATGACGACTAGCTACTAGCTAGCTAGATGAAATTTAAAGTTGAGATTGACCTCCAAATTTAGTTCTGAGTTTATTTTTTATGAATGTTATTTCTATATGTAACTTCTAAGTTTATTTCTGTATGTAACTTTTAAAAATGTGCCAGTGAGATGGTGGGCAGAGACCTAGGCAAATTTTTTAATTTAATTTAATTCATTATATAACAATAACAACATCTAAATAAGTGTCTACAATTGATTAAGTACATAAAATGAAATATGTAGTCAAAGTTACTTTACAAGAAAGAAAGTCTAGAGTTATTTTACAAGAAAATTATCTTCAAACCTTTAACCCCCCAAAAAAAAAAAAAAAAAAAAAGAACCGTCTAGAGCCGCCAAGACTGCCTAGGCAAGCATCTAATTGCCGCCTAGAAGCTTCACCGATTTTTTAAAGGCCTAGCCTCTAACCGGGGCATTTGGCCTCCGCCTAGCGCCTTGGCACTGCCTAGGATGCTTTTTAGAACAATGCCTACAAGTTAATTTCTTCTTGCACTCCATTACTTGTTATGTGTTTCTTTTAAAAAACACATATATTATTATTAAAAATATTGATGTGCTGTAAATAGAAACACTTTTAATAATGAAAATGCTTGGGAACAAAAGTAATTTTTAAAAATGAGGGAACAAAACATTAAAAAAACTAAGGTTTCGATCGATAGACTTATGTTAAATTTTATTGGGCGAAAAATAAACTAATGTTTAGTTGTAAGTGTTTATCTAGGGTGTACATATAAGCAAAAAAGGAACGGGAAGTAGAAAGTGGCAGGTGAAGTGCGAAGGCCGGTAGCATTTAGAAACACGCCGAGTAGCCTATTATATCTCATAGGTCATTCCAACCCTAACAAGCCTGGTCTTTGGAATTGCCATCAAGCTATCAGCTTGCCTAAAGTTTTTCTTCAAGAAATCGTACACGTAGTTGACAACAATCTTTTTGAACCAGGAAGATTTCTCTCCTGCCACCACTTGTGTCTCTCCCATCAGATACACAATACTTTTGTCCATTGCCTCTTGCACAAACTCAATTTCCTCGTCAGCCGTTGCCCGAGTGTTCTGGCTATCCGTTGCAGCTTGATCTTCTGCTAACATCTGTTGATTGCGAATAAAATCTTTTAAATTCTCAACCAGCTGCTTCTCAAACTCCACAGGATCCTCAACTATATCGTTGTAACCGTAGCGCACCACACAGCGGAAGATCCTGTATCCTCTGGGCTCCAACTGTCGAAACAAAAACCTCTCCTCCAACAACACTTTGCTCACGGGCAGGGGCTTAATCGTCACAACAACCACAACTGAATGCACTGAGGGTATATTGGCAACTAAATGAGCAAATATAGGAGGCATTCCTTGAACAAGTTCTGAATACAAAAGCCCTATTCCTGGGACGCGGTTAATGTCAGGGTTAGTGGCCAGTTTCTTCATGTACTCACTAGACACCTTGTTGTTGAGCTCATAAATGTAACTTTGTTTGTGCACATAATGCCAGATCGTCATAATCATCATTAGGAATGCGGCGAAGCACAGCGGAAGGTAACCACCTTCGATGAACTTGAATAGAACCGAAGAAAAATAAACCCCTTCGATCAAAATGAACACCACGAAGAAAATAGCAATCAAGAATATGCTTGTCTTCCATATGACTAGCATGATTAAAGTGAGCATGCATGTTGTGATCAGCATCACACTAACCACCGCAATTCCATATGCATTGCCAATTTTCTCTGTGGTCTTGAAGGCCACAGTGATGATGACACAAAAAATCATAAGTATGTAGTTAATCTCGGGTATGTAGACTTGACCCTCGTTCTTTGCTGAGGTGTGAACAATCTTTACTCGAGGGAAAGAACCCGTACTTAGGGACTGGGAGATAATTGAAAATGTCCCCGTTATCAGAGCTTGACTGGCAATAATGGCAGCTAAAACGGCCACCACAAATGTTGGCCAGTAGATAACGTCTGTATGCACATGAATACACACGTATGTAAACATCGATATAGATATATATTATGCACTAATTAATTGATTATTAAACACATAATTACGTGTACTATGTGCGGTTCAGACAAATTATTTGTATCAAAATTACTAACTGAGTGGTCAGTTTAGTAAATATGGTACAAACAATATTACTCGTATAAATTGCCTTAATGAGAAATCATGAGAACGCACGTGGAATTGAAGCGTAGAAGGTATCTGACACTTTGTCCGGGTACTTGGTGAGAAATGCTGCTTGCCCAAAATATGCAAAAAGTAATGCGGGAAATGTGCAGCAAGTGAAACTAAGCTACAAGAAGACATTAATATTTCCATTAGCAGCAGTACTAAACGATCGTTTAAAATTCAAGTAATGCTGATAAGGGTGATGCGTTTTTGAAGTATAAAAATTAATGCATGCATTTTCTTAAATTATTACTTACTTGGATTGCTCGAACACTGAAGTGACCCAGATCAGCAAACATGGCCTCGGTCCCTAGTTAATTTATGTCACTACAATTAGCAATTGCTAACGGACATATATATAAACGATTCATAGGGAAATATCATATGGTATTAAAATACAAACGTTGGTTAATTTACCAGTAATGCAGAGCACTACTCCCCCAAGGGAAATCCATGCCTTTTTTCCATTTCTATGGAAGTAGTAAATGAAGTAAGCTGGATTGAAAGCACGTAAGACAGTAACGTCATGTACGATTAAGTTGTAAAGACCGATGCCACTGATGAACGCGAACCACAACAAGATAATAGGAGCAAAGGTGAAGCCCACTTTATCAGTACCAAATTGTTGAACAGCGAAGAGACCGATCAAGATTGCTACCGAAATCCCCACAACAGCATCTGGGATCGATAAATTTTTCGTCAAATTTCAACGTTGATAAATAAAACTATATATGCATAGTCCTATCGTTATTAAGATTTAATTAACTTGTAGCATATGTAAGAAATAGTTAAAACATGCATACTTGCGCCTAGTGACTTGATCCCGCTCACTGCAGAAAGAACTGCACACAAATTTAACACTTTTGTTAAATCTTGAATAGCACACTAAATAAGGGTGTAGGAATTAATTATTTATTCCATAAATAGCACAGTAAATAATTCTAAGAGAATGTGTGCCACTGATTAAAGTAGTAATAGTTAGTTACCTGAAATGCATGGAGTAAGAACCCCATCTCCAATCACCATGGAAGTTCCCATAATGGTGACAAAGAAAAGTGTATATTTAGCATATTTACTATTCTCAAGCTTCTTTTTTATCGCTTGGGACCTTTTTAACTCCGATGAAATTTCAAGTTTGTAGTTGGATAGCTCTCTGTCTTCTGGCTGCGTATTTGGAATTAAGCTCACCTTCGCAGATCGGCATATCAATGAATACAACGCAAATGTTCCCCCTATAAATCAATATACATGATAATTAGTTCATGTGAAAAAAAGTTAATGGACGGTTCCGATTGTTGGAACATAAAATAAAATGAGATAGTATGTTTACAATCCGAACTATAAATAATTAAACCTTTGATATTGTTGTAAATGCCTAAAACAATTTGATATTGTTGGAATTAGGTTGCTAGAATCTAAGCTATAACCTAAAAGAACGAAAGAAGTAATTGAATTAACTTAATTAAATATCACACGTACCTTCACCATTATCATTAGCCCACAAGACGATGAAGACATACTTAACCAAGGGTACGAGCAATATGGTATAGATGATGAGAGACAACACCCCCAGAATGTCATCCTTGTGGTCAATACCATTAGGAAAAGTGCTTGAGAATACATAGAGGGGAGATGTCCCGATGTCCCCATACACTATCCCTATGCTCTGGAATGCTAAACTGATCGTTGTCTTCCAACTCATCTGAAAATGAAAAAAGAAACAAAAAGTTGACAGATTAAAACCTACATACAATGAAAAATAAATATCCAGTCTCTGTGACAATTAAAAAGAATTAGTGGTTTAGGGTTGGAATATAAACGTACGTTTGAGCCATGATGATTAGGCATGGAAACTTTTCCAGCCTCCAAATTGAGTGAGTCTACCCGACGCATCGATATCCTCGGTTCATCGGTAGTCTCCGAATTCTCTCCCATCCTTTTCTTTTTCTCCTTAGTTTCTCTTGTTTTCCTTCCTCTCAACTCAAAGATGACTGTGTAAATGAGAAAAGAAACGCTTCTTCAACGAGTATCTTCTACCTCGTATCTACCCTTGAGTTTTATAGGTAAAGACGACTAAGAGAAACTAGTGCATGTATGTACGTATTTTTAGGCTTCCATTTCCTAGAATATGTTATATGTAAAGACGCGGAAGACTCTGGCAAATTAGTTACGCGTATAGTGTGTGTATGTACGTATTTTTAGGTTCCTATTTCCTAGGATATGTTCTTTTCTTTTCTTTTTCAAAAATAAAAGAAAAGAAAAAAAGAAACACTTCCTTGGATGGGAGTTAGTTTGATCAGTGTAATTATATATATGGAAATGGGTAGTAACAATAAGCTTTGTGTAATTAACTTAACTTGAACAATTGTTAAGCTGCATTTGTATTAAACATTTTCTTAGCAAATTAAACACGAGCCCCTAGTTTTTTTTGAAGTGACGAAGTGTGTCTCCGATCCCTATAGTTAAGTTTCCTCTGTCAACGTACGTAGCCTAGGGAAATTCATACTTCACGCGAAGCTAAGACTTTTCCTTAAGCCATCTGGTGATCTCAAGGTTCATTTTGAGTCGTAAAAATAGTTTCTCTCAAAATAGGACTGTGGTCGTACGTGTACATCGTTTAATCTTGCCACATGTAAACCCTTTGGTTCGCCATGTGGAGCTAGTACGTGCATGACAAATGGACATAAAAACACATTTCCTACGTGTACAAAAGCATATCAAATAAGTCTATCAAGAAGTTTCTAACAATGGTCGACGTTAAAATTATATGATCGTTGATTAACACTTCCCGACATGCAAACATAAATGATGCAATGCTGTGTAGGATTTAATATAACAAGAAGAGAAGGGGAGAATCCAAATTTATATTTAATAGAAGAGATAACTCCAAAAATTTAGTTAGTTATTAGGTTTAGTCCAACACACTTTGCTTATGATTTAGATTCATTACTTTTATTCCAACTAAGCAAATTTTAATTTTTCAAAATGATGAGTCCGCCTAATTCTTCAGATGAGCTTTTCAAATACCGATTATGTCCCTGAGTTGTTTAGGACTCCAAAATGATAATTATTTGTAACGGTGACACTTAATTTAGCATAATTGTAGGCATGTCTATCTCAGTTTTTAATTTACATCATATAACTTTTGTTTGACATAATTAAGCAACAAATCCAACCTCTCTAGCAGATGTTGAGCTAGTTTAGTATTAATGTGCTTAAAAAAAAAACTATTTTTGATGTGCTATGAGAATAAACAGTTGTAAAATAAACTTGTTGAGTGTTTGATAAGTATTTTTTTTTTTTTTTGTAAAAGTGCTTTTAACAAAAAAAACCATAACATTGTCTAAGTGTTTAGTAAACTTTTATATAAAATTGTTGTGAATATGTTATATGACTAAAAATAATATGGTATTGGATGTGATTTTATAATTGCCAAAGAGAATAATGCAAGAGCAAATATTGTAATTTTGCAAAATATGTGGGGGTATACTTATTATTTGAAAATTTCATTAAATTGACACTGTTCACTATGCTTTTGAAAGAAAAAAAAAACCACTTTTTTAGAAGCATAATAGACACTGCTTCTGCTTTGTACCATCATTGACAACCGTTTTTTAATAAACTGCTATTTTTAGAAGAACCACAGCTCCTAACCAGCACACGCATGACCAAACTTGCAACCTTTACTTGGGACTCATCATGTTTATTAACAAATCTGATGAACCTTATTTTAGGATAACAAATCTAATGAACCTACAACATGGGTTTATTAACACCAATAAGTTAAAAGGGAACTTTAACGAAAAGATCCCAATATTGTTCACTTTAACAAAAAATCACATTTTTACACTAAAAAGTTAATCCTGGTACTATTCACTTTATCTTTTATTTTGTCGTTTTTCATTAAAACTCAAAATTTTCAAATTATTTTCATTAGTTTTCCTTAAGTTAAAAGGTTTACGAGGTGAAGATCAAAACAATAAACAAACGACTTAGTTTCAAGGTTTGTCACATCTACAAACCTGCAACCAAGGCAAATTAAAGGGGCTTAATCTACATCATAGATTTGGTAATACTTGAAATCCATCAGGTTTATTAACAAATCTAAGGACTCTTATTTTTAGGTTAACAAATCAAATGAACCCACAATATGGGATTATTAACACCACCAAGGTACTAATCTACAACATAGGTTGATTTAGACTACTAACCTACAACACAGGTTGATTCATACACATTTACCTACACAATACGTTTATTTAATCTAAATAAACCTGCAATACAGATTGGGATAATGAACTCGAATCAAACAAAACCCCAGTTTACTCACTGAAGATGTTGACTATAATAAAAAAACATTTGATCTGTATGAAACTGCCCAAGCATTTTGTCAAAACCAGCAGCTTCCAACAGCTTCCAATTAACTATGAGAGAGAGAGAGAGAGAGAGAGAGAGAGAGAGAGAGATGCCTTTCTTTGGAGAATGGCAGTGGGTGAAATTTCAAGCAACAAGGTAACCCACTAAATAATCCACATGACATATGTTTTAATGTAATGGACCTCAATTATCATTATATAATTGTATATGGACTTCACCCATTATCACTGGACCAAATGGACCGCAATCGGTAATCCCCTTAATAAAATGGTCTTAGGCTATGAACCAAAAAAGAAATGTGGTTAGGTTTATAAGAATATAAGTAGGAGAAGTTCATAATCAGGTTTAAACCTCGAATTGGTTTAATTAAAAAAATAGCTGAATTTATGACGAAAAAAAAACTACGGCTCTGCAAGCAAATTTATTGGACTAAATTTTAATGGTTGAGATTAAGCAAATTGATAATTGGATTTAAGAAGTACCGGTATCATGTGAATTTGAAAGGAACCATCCCAAATCCAAGCATTTTTTACCCTTGTCTTCCACGATCCCCACGTAACCATCATTACTATGCCAAAGTCCACCACCTGTTCCTCTGCTAGTTGTAACCTCCGACTCCGAGAGCGACACACCCATCAACCTAAACGGAGGTGCAATATCAAGTTGCTTTAAGCGCTCTCATCAAAATTTTAAACTAAATTGACAAACAAAATGATGTGTCACTAATATAAAATAAGCACGTTAATTAATACTTAAATAATAATCTAATATGTTGCATTTACCATTAAGCGATTTATATGAATCATTAATTTTTATTTCGTAGAGTTTTTTCATTATTTATATTATTGTGTACTTTAAAAAACAGAAAAACCATTTAAACGCAATAACCGCGCCAAATGCTATTTTTACTCAAGGTTTCGTTACTTCGGCTCTTTCAATTCTGTGCGGGGTTGTGGGTGAATCCACCAACCATCTTATGAGGGAATGTTCCTACTCGAGATGCATGTGGCTGGCATCTCCTCTTGGAATTGTTAACCATACCATACATAGAATCCAGAAAGACAGAAGAGTTAAGGGAGAAGAGAAAGAATCAGAAAGCTTAGACAGAGAGAGAGAAAGAAATCTTCTTTTCTTTATTATTTTTGCATTGTTCTAATCTTCTTACACAAGCTATATTATATACTACCTTGACCTTATCATATCTGAACTGTCCTAACCATAGTCTTCAATCTAGCCACTGTATTACTGACAGATGGCACAATCTAACTAATTCAGTTATATACTCTTACATCCCCCCTCAAGCTCAGGTTGGGAGGACCCAAGCTGGAGGTTGGAACAGTGAGTAGCAAACAAAGGGGAACTGAGGCCTTTAGTGAGAATATCAGCAAACTGTTCTGAGGAGGAGACAAACTGCACGAGAAGCTGCTTGTGAGCCACACGCTCTCGAACAAAATGAACATCTACTTCAATGTGTTTTGTCCGCTGATGTTGGACAGGATTAAAAGAGAAAGCAATAGCAGACATATTGTCACAGAATAAAACAGGAGTAGACTCGAGGGGGATCTTCAAAAAGGTAAGAAGTTGCTGCACCCAATCTAACTCGGCAGCAGTAGTTGATAAAGCCCTGTACTCCGCCTCAGTGGACGATCGAGACACAATCTGTTGCTTCTTAGAGGACCAAGCAATGGGATTATTGCTAAGGAATACCACCAAGCCAGTAGTGGACCGTCGATCATTAGGATCCCCTGCCCAGTCAGCATCACTAAAAGCCTTGAGGATCAACTCTCCACTGGTGTAACTAATTCCATGACTGAGAGAACCTTTAAGATATCTTAAGATTCGTTTGACAGCAGTGAAGTGAGATAGCATGGGAACCTGCATAAACTGACTAACTTGATGAACAGAAAAGGCTATGTCAGGCCTGGTAAAAACAAGATACTGCAAAGCCCCAACTAGACTTCTGTATAGAGCTGGATTATTAAACGGTTGGCCATCATCCTTAATAAGCCTATGGTAAGGCAAACAAGGAGTGGCAGCAGGTTTGGAGTCCAGCATATCAGATTTCTTCAACAAATCTTGAATGTACTTTTCCTGAGATAGAAACAAACCAGAAGCAGTTCTAGTGATCTGAATACCCAAGAAAAAATGTAAAGGACCAAGATCCTTAAGCTCAAATTCTTTGGTTAACTGGGCAATGACTTGTTGAATTGTTGCAGCTGCACTTCCAGTGATGATTATATCATCAACATACAACAGAAGAATCACAATGTCAGCACCAACATACTTAACAAACAGTGAAGAATCAGAATATGTATTGCTGAAACCCAACTGTGGTAAAAACTGAGTAAATCGATCATTCCAAGCCCTCGGAGCCTATTTTAAGCCATAAAGAGACTTGTGTAACTTGCATACTAAGTATGAATATCTAGAATCTTCAAACCCGGGAGGTTGTGACATGTATACCTCTTCATTTAAAATGCCATGAAGGAAGGCATTTTTAACATCAAGTTGTCTTAAGGGCCAATTAAACTGAGCAGCAAGAGCAAGAACTAATCGAACTGTGGTAGGCTTGACCACAGGACTAAAC